TAAAAAATATATATTTTGTCTTGTAGACCTTCATCAATGGCATCTATCCAATTTCTCCTTTTTTTCAGACAAAGTTGGCTATGTAAAAAAATGTTTATTCGATTTTGCTCCCCTAAAATATTTACTGTCGCTATATGGTACCTCATTTATATTTTATAGCAGCCGTTTTCAAATTCAATCCACAGCATACTTTTACCTAATAATTACATCATGTACTTAATTCTTAATTTGCAATTTGATTCTTGTTGATATCAGTTTTTCTGAAATTGCAGATGCTTAACTAGCAATAAATAACGGATCACACTTGTTGACATATGTCAAAATGTCTTGTAGTTACAGCAGACGCGAGGGAGGCCATTACTACAGTGTTCCACTTTGGAAATACTATTTGGACGTCTCACTGTGTTTATTTGTCTATGATGAAAACTAAGCAAATATCAGCAACAGCGTATTTAGTATTATAGAGGGCGCCAATGTACGACCCCGCCCACGATGCCAATAATGTTAATGTGTGTACCGTCAACTTTATGGTAAATACAGGCAACTCACACACTTTAAGGTGAAATGTTAAATTTTGCGACATCTGTGATTGCGAGGAAGACAAAAATATATCAATAGTGTGCAGCGAACTGTAACCAATGAACAGTACAGACAAATAAGGAAATCGTTCAAAAATTAACATGAAATATGCAAAAAGAAATTATGGCAACCCGTGTAAGATGCCGGAATTTTTGAACTTGCCAGAGCACAGGAATATTCACACACAAGTTGCCATTAATATGAAGAGGCCTACACACACACACACACACACACACACACACATACACGGACATTTTTAAAATCTACTTTTCGTGTTTCTTATACCTCGAACCGTATACTCTGGTCTTATCTAAATTTTCGATTTTGGACCCATTGCAACTTCCCCATTTTCATGGGTTATTGGTCAGGTAGAAGACATAACATTTCAAAAGGGTCATGGTATATGAAGATCAAGGACATACAGATTTTTTTTACGTATTTTTGACAGGAATCCTTTACTTTTACAGATAATATGAAATGATTTTTAAACAGAAGCTATACTTTAATAAACTTGGTTTAGAACAGCATTTAGCTTATATGTACATTATACTATATTGTATTGTATGTTGTACCATATTTGCAACTCACAAATGCACTTATATTTCAAATATAATTGATAAATAAAGAACAATAATAACAATTTTCACAAAAAATGTCAAACTGACAATGTAAACAAACTTCCTCCAACTTGCTTCCAACTATTATGCGACATTGCCCCGATTTTAAAAATTCAGAAAATCAATCAGGAATATACAAATTATATGAAGTAAAAAATACTTATTCGAATTTCGAATGTCATAAAAAAACTTGTGTATTAAATTTGATAAAATTGTTGTTTAAATATTCTTTCAGATATACATACTTTCTTTTTTACTATGTAAATATTGAATAAATTGCAGCACACCACAGTGAGTTGTTATTATTCTACTTGTGTAATGACAACGTTGTTTGTTTATTCATGAACCAGTTGTTAGAATGTGATCTTTAAGTGTACAACATAACAAACGATATAATACTATATCCTCCTTGCTTATAAATCCATCGATATCCAGCGATCAGTAGGTTATCTCGACTTGTCGCTAGGCACAGTAATCGGTGGTCTCTAAGTGCGTTTACTGTGTTCCAGGTTGTAGTTTTACTGTGCTTTTAGTGCGTATTCAGAAAATTAGTAAATAATAATTATCAAAAAAAAAATTGTTTAGCGTTATTATCTTTCATTTCACTCCATATTTATATGCTTTTCTTATTTTTTGTTTGTCTTTTAATGTGGTGTGATAAAAGCGGCAAAGAAAAAAGCAGGTCACGTGTGTTGTTACAATAGTTATAAATGTAAAGATACATTGGAACATTGGGAACCTTTTTCTTTTCTTCATAATCTTGAAAAGTAACTATCTGTACAAAATATAAAATATGAATTTGTTATTTACACAAATCGTAATATTGTTAAATTAAAGGAGTTTATCGATAATAGAAAACATTAAGGAGAATGCATTATTTTAATCTATTTTACATCTACACTACGTCATGTGAGAAGAAGTGCTGAATCGGGAATTTTTACGAAATTTTGAGAAAAAGTGCTTTATAATAAAAATAGTAATAAAATATTTCGCCTGTTTTGTATTTTGTCTAATTTATCTAGATAATCTACAAATTTGTTATTTTAAATATGCAAAGTGTCAAAAAACAAAATATATACACCTGGTTAGAGTAGAAGGTTTATTAATGATGCAAGTGCACGCTTACAACCATAAACAACTGCTAATAAACATGATATAAGAGGTAAGTCTTTATAAGTTACTCCTATACCCTCACCGACGCCAGTCAATTTCTTAAAACGGGCCGGCTTTAGTCATAAATGTCACAGTAAAATATTATTTGAACGTAGAGCTACATAAAACATCTAATGTGGCCAGCACATAACTTTCTTATACCAGTATATATCATCCTGATCTAAACAAATCATTCTATTTAATTATTTAGTTACCTCAATTAAATTTTAGAAACGTACCTTGATGTTTCATAAATTTTTTTTAATAATTAATTATCAGCGTCCTTCGATACTTCCAATAATAATTCATATCATATATTATTTTAATAATTTCTTTTTATTGACATTGACATGTTTGTAACTAAATTAGATATTTTAAATGTCAAACTGTCAGATTTATTCTAACCCCATTTTATGAGGTCAAATGCATACAAAATTTCAGTTTACATCAGCTTTATTAAAGTACTTGGAAAATATATTTTATTCGCTTGATATAGTTGACATGATTTATAATCTTTCATCAAGAATATATTTCTTTGTAAAATCAAATACCACAAAGTTTGTGTCCAGTGGACCTCCTTTCAACTGGCCAATCTTGTTCATCATCGAATTTTTCATTGTCTTTGGCCATTACAGCAAGTGTACCAAATTTGAAAGCTTTATCTCAAAAACTGTGGTGGCTATTGCGTTACTACAGACATGCAGATAGATTTTTTCCATAAAGTTATGTTTTTTTCATTATAATTCGTCGAAATTCGTTCAAAAATACAATACACATTTTTTTTTTTTTTCAGGAAATTGTACCTTTTTTCTTCTTTCATAGTCAAAATGGATTCAGTAGGGTTCAAAACGTATAAATCAATCAAAATCTCGAGGTCGAAAAAAATCACGATTATTATACTTCCTTATATTAAGTATAAGAAAGTAAAAATCCACTACTATAGACGTGCGAAACTCAAGGATTCTAGCACATATTGTTCCATATTTTTTTATTTCTTAAAATTTTCACCAATTTGAGACATCGACTAGTAATATAAACAAAAAAGTGCTCTTGCAATTTTTTTAATATTAGTTTCCGAGTAAAATCCAGGTGAAAATTTGAAAACAAGAAAGAGAAAGATTTAATTTTTACAATAATTTATTTCGATTGAGGTGACGTACCATTGTTGTTTTGACACATTCAAAAATGCCGAATTTTTCGGAGACTTTCACACATATTTCTTACATCGGATCCATATTCTCAAGATGATTTACTGGAATTGAATAAATGATCGAATTCAAATAATCTTATGGAAAACAGTATACCTGGTTAAGATAAGATGCCCGAGCAGGCCACGATATTGGTTCATTCCGTCCTATCTATCGATTGGGAAAATGACAGTTTAGATGTTCCAGGGCTAAAATGTGAAATGAAACAGAGCACCATTGTGTATTAACCACATGTTTACCCTTGTTGCATCAGGTATGACCTCCAATAGGTCTAGAAAAATGTTCTATAAAAAGCCGAGATAGATCGGACCGGTAGATTTGTTAGACAAAATATATCGCTCGATTAAGTGCTCTCCAATTATCTCTTCCTTCACATTTAATGAAAATCTATTTTGATGTCGTCAGTAGATAACTCATGAGTATTTTGATCTATCCAAGATCTAAGATCTAAAATTATTGTATATTATACTTTCTCGTGAAACATTAGTAAGTGAACAGAATATTCGGCGGAAATAGGGAATTCTCCAAGTTTTTTTACAACAACCACTGATAAAATGTTAATCTGTTTTGGAAATCTCCATCGTGAAGCACCTGAACTCTTTGCAGATGATAATGATAAAGCAGTCGTTCATGTAAAACATGTCAAACAGTGATTTTCTTTTCTGTTAGAGCTGGTTGCCGGATCGTTTGCAAGAAAGTCTAGGGTCTGCCCTTTTCGTTCTAGCGTTAGAACATAACTCTTACCTTTCAGTCATTTTTGTTTACTGTTAACGTACTCACATCGAAGATGCACGGAACCCCACAGTTTTACATTCCTTTCGGAAGGTGGTGACGCGAGTAGGTCCGCTCATCCACTATACCTCATCGACTTGTTCCCGCCAGGTTTTGACCACAGGCAGTTTGGGTAAAAGCACGCGTTGCTGTCCTTCACACCACCGAGTCCATAAATATATTAAATAAAAAAACACTTTTTGACATCTGTTTCAAATAGCCTTATTTTTTTTAGAATGCATTTTCGGACACGTCTTAATATTAACTTTTCTTCTCACTTTTGCATGTAGAATCCATCCTCAAATTTAAGCATTGAAACACCCTTTATACCAAACTGATATTTTATTCCTAACATGTTTGTAGAACGATTCATTTAAATAAATACTCGTATGGTAGTAATATGGTAGTAGTATGATAGTAGTATAGTATTGAACTCAATTGAGCATTTTAACTCCACAATTGTTTTTTTGCGATAAACCTAAAACTGCATTTGCTACGTATCATATTAAAAAATTAAAATTTTATTAAACACCATAGGTAATACAACCCCCCTGTATCCCTGAAGGTACCTCAAGGTACCTTGTGTGGGAGAGGACTACACATTTAGAGACAATGGACACACATCCAATGTCCGAGTGTGCTAGGATTTATTTCTGGTTTAGAAAAAATCGTAGCTCCTCGACCGGGAATAGAACCCGGGACTCTGGGGTGAGAGGCAAGTGTCTTTACCACTTGACCACGAAGAATAAATGCGTTATATTCGTTTTCTTTATTTTGGTTTCTAAATTATAGACAGTACTCGTCAAGATAGTATGTTTAGACCGCTGAAATGACACTAACTTAATTTTCTATGATAATTCCAAACAAAACATTTTTTTCTACGATATTGTGAAACTAATTTTGTGACGGATAACATCACATCTTAAGGTACGATTATGCTATTTAAAAATTTCAGAATAAGATCGTATCTAGACATACGACGATATTATTTAAAAATCAGATGATCAAATCTGAGAGCGTACATATAATTTAGTTTTTATTGCCTAGATGGTATTATCTCGCTTTTACATAATGCCATAAAAAGAAGTTACAGAGAAAACTATAAATTTTCGGATTTTTCATTTTTTTCCTGATCGCTTCGAAAAAATTTCGGACAGATATGGTGGTTCAACACCTTCAATGTTAATATGTAGTAAACGGATGTTGCAACCCAATGCGTGAACAGTTGAGGAGATAGTGGTAATTGCTTTACGTAATATTGGTGTTAAAGTTGAAAATGTTTTACTGTTATATCAGAACCAGCGGCATACACGCTGTGTCCCAGGATAGGTGTAACACGAGTGTAATGGACCAACAATTTTCGAATTTTGGAATGGTACTTCGGAAATCAGTTCTGCTTGATGTAAAATTATATATCAAAAGTGAGTTGAATCGATTTTATACAGGATGTTTTGTAAGTTAATTTATGAAACTTGTCACTAACAAATTACCTTTATTTTGCAGTATATTAAAAAGTTGCATTAAAGGAAGTTTTTAGAATGTAATGTGTGCCTACTTACCAAATTTGAATATAAAATAAATTTACTTTGTTGGAACTGCCACGTTTTCATTAGTAGTCAGTTTTTTGTTGATAAGTTAAGACGTTAAGAACAAAAATTATTTATAATACTAATTTATTTTAGAAATGATACTTATTATTTCTCAACTTGCAAAAATTTAAAATAATATACTAATTTATTGAAAAAAGGAGCAGTTCCAACAACGTAAATTTATATTCCTAAAATTTAATAAAGAGGCACAAATTGCATTCTGAACAACTTCTCATAATGGAATTTTTTCACGTCATGAAAAATAAAGGTAGTGGCGATTTTTATAAAATGAGCTATAAAACACCCTGTATAACACAAATCGATTCATTTATGATATCTTCGTTTTACGTTAAGCAGTACCATCCCAAAATTCGACAATTTGTTATTCATTACACCTCTTTACATCTACCCTGTATGTTTTAATTGTTTCGTACACATGATTGTTATTATATCTTAACTCATGTGTGCCGGCCCTGGACGCACGAAATTGTCCAATGCCTACTTATAAATGTGATGAAAATACTCGATATATTTTTACTGGCTAAATTGTACAGGGTCGTTCAAACTCGATGTCACATTAATATTTTTTCGTTATGTGTCACCAACCATAGCTATTTGTTTATATTTTATAACGTGAAAATACACCAATTACCAATAATTTTGACAAGATATGTTAATTTGACAATATTTGACAATATTTGACAATATTAAAAAATGGTAACAAAATATAAATGTAGTCATGGCCAACTCCATAAAACCAAATGTAATGAATAAAATTTATGTTACACGCTGCATTGAGCCTCTCTGGTTTGTTGACACATCTTTGCGTATAACTTTCAAACTAATAAAGATATAATAAATATTGCTATTTGAAATAGATAGGAAAAAGGATGGTCTTTCCAACCGTGGAAAAATATCTGTATGTTTCTGAGAAAATATGATTTCTTGTCGTCACGACGCCCAGCGTTGGTGGCCAAAAATTTTGATATTTATCAGAAAATATTTGACTGATGCATTTAATATTTTTAAAACAGTTTTGGATTTTCTTTTTCGGTCTTCTCGGAATATTAACGAGGCATCGACTTTAAATGACCCTGTATAGTTTTTGTCCCACTCTGCGACCTTATCTTTCTTGTTGTTTCCGAAATGTCAATAGTATAAACTTGAAAATGAGCGTGTATGGTATTATATGGTTCTAGGAACACTCTGTATGGTGCTCTGTCTAAATAGAATAAATAGCATATTTGAAACAAAATATGTCGTACTTAAACATACACTATGATGAATTTCCTCCAAAAACACATGTTTCATTCAAATGTAAAAATGAATTTAAGATATGAAAATTGGGAAAAAGGGGTGTGGGAAGTGGAAAGTCAAGTTATATTAAATTTGTTATTTGCAATGTAGGTAATAAAAAAAGAAAATGAGGCATAGCAGGAATACTCTTTCCTTTCTCTATATAAGCATGTTTCTAGAGATATTTTCAGTTTCATCTGTTATTCTTTTTATTTTTATTACGAAACCAACCATTTTGGTGATATTAAAAATGTATTTTTACTCTACGTATGTCGACCGAGAACAATATACTTACGACACGAAAAACATTTTCTTGAGAAATTTAAGTTTTCGTTGAACACAAAAGAAAGATGTTACCATTATTTGTATTAAATTCGCTCTTGCATTTCTGAACAGTATGTGGATGTTTATATATACTCGTAAATGTGAATAAAGATAATAGATGGAGGAAATATGATCGTAAGATGTAACTAATTTTATAAAGAAAACTGAACATACAAAACTATGGAAAGGTCTAGACTTACAGATAATCTCAAAACTATTGTTATGTTTTTCAACATAAATAAATATGAGGCTTTCCATAAAATATTGTTTCATTGTCTTTAAAACATGGGCCCGGTGGATTAAAGTGCCCATTGTAAAGATAATTCAAGTCTAAATACTGAAAATTTATTACTTTTTTATACCTAATATAAGGAAGTATAGTAATCGTAATTTTTTTCGACCTCGAGATTTTGATTGATTTAAATATTTTGAACCCTCCTGACTATTTTCCGAATGATGTCTATCGGTGCGTGTGTGGATGTGCGTGTGTGTGCGTGTGTGTGTGTCTATGTGTGTATCCGCGATAACTCAAAAAATAATAATGGGAGACTTCACAAATTTGGCAGTTAAGATCATCAACAACATTTTAGGTGACACATTAAATTTGGTGAATGTGTTATCACCAGAAGAGACATAATGAATGAAAGAAGAAAAAAGGTGCAATTTCGGGAAAAAAAGATAAAAAATTTTTGTTGCGCTTCTGGAAGAATCTCGACGAATTATAATAAAAAAACTTAACTATATGGAAAAAATCTGTCTATATGTCTATAGTATCGTGATAGCAACCACAGTTTTTGATTTTTGATAAAACTTTCAAATTTGGTACACGTGTTTTAAAGCCCAGACAATGAAAAATTAGGTGATGAGCAAAATTGGCCAGGTGAAAGGAGGTCCACTGGACCCCAACTTTTTTGTATTTGATGTTACAAAAAAATGAATTCTTGGTGAAAGATTATAGCGAATAATATATATTCTCCAAGTACTTAAATAAAGCTAATGTAAACTTAATTTTGTACGCATTTGACCTCATTAAAAGGGGGTTAGGATAAATCTGTTTGACATTTGAAATATCTAATTTAGTTACAAAAATGTCAATGTCAATAAGAAGACATTATTAAAATATACGACATGAATAATTATTGACAGTATCGAAGGACGCTGATAATTAAAAAATTGTTTGAAACATTTTAAAGTACGTTTTTAAAATTTAATTGAGGTAAGTGAAGAATTAATCGGAATGATTTTTAAGATCAGGATGCTGTATACTGGTATGAAAAAGTTATGTGCTGGCCACATCAGATATTTTTTTTAATAATAAACCTAATTTATTAAAAATTTGGATTAAAATCATTTAACTGAATATCACCATTTTTCCTATATTTCTTCAACTATTTTTCAAGAATTCTGTATAATTCTTCACACTTCATAAAGTATTGTTGTACAGTTTGATCCAATGTTGTCTTCGACGGTTTATGTATACTTTTAAATTCAGTTAACTTCAATCAAAATAAATCATCCGTAGATAAGGCTGAGCAACATGGAAGCATTCGTTGCACTATCTTCATTAATGCCCTAGATTTGTAACTAATTTCTGTATCCTCCTTCTGGAATTCTATTGTGCCATTGATATCAGGAACTCGAATTTCTTGAGTAATATTATGTGGCAAGGACTAACGTCAAAATGCACACGAAACTTTCTCCTTGTTACTATAACAGAATCATCGTTTTTTTAAAAAGTATCTATTACGAAGTCAACACATGTCAACATAACGTAATGGTAGTCGATTCTATTTTCCATGTCTAATCGTTATCGAATGCTGAGTGGTTAAAAATAAAGGCTTCATTCTGCTAGGCTTTATATTTTTTCAGAACACCAGATAAGTACAATTAATCTCTGGTTTGGGAGTCTGACCAGAGAAAAATGGTTTAATACGAGGTTTAATATTTCGAGGGTTTCTACCCGAAATAAATTGATTCTCTCTTTCTTCTTCTCTATCTTTATTTCTTTCTCTCTCTATCTCTTTCCCTCTCTATCTCTTTCTCTATATCTCTAATGACTAAATGGATAGAAATCAATTTGTTCTATTAATATTGTCTGAACGTTATTTGTGGCATTCTCTAAATTTTTCTTTCTCTTTTTGGGACTTACTACTACATGAATAATAATTCTTCGTTATCTAAAAAATATAGTTAGGTAACCAATATATTACTGGAAAAATAAATCTCTGCACTTGTGGAGAATTTGATACAATATTTTTAAGGTCAAACCCCTTAATGTAATAAATAAAACCCTTAATTAACAGGATGTAATATAAGTTCATAGAGTTCTTCAAGGTTTTAAAATAATTTACTTATTTTCAACAAAAATTTCAACAAATCAATCTATCTTATGCTCCTTCGCTATTCACGACCTTTTCCCAACGTTCGGTCAGTTTTTCCATCCGACTGCGATAGAATAGAGCTGATTTGGAGGCAAAGAAGTCGGCAACTTATTTTTGTACTTCGTCGTCGTTGTTCAAGATAATTCCGCGCAGATT